GGGAGGACGCGCGGGAGGATCCGGATCGCCCGGCACTGCCGGAATCCTGCTGCTGTTCCTTTGCTGAGCCCCCAAACTCCCCCCGGGCTGGGGGGCACATGGGAGCAGCCTGACCCCTCCTGTCCTCATTGTCCTTTAAATCCCCCCAGATTCCTCATCCCGGGGTGTTTGACCCCAAGTAGCACAAACACTGACTCCCAGGAGCTCTGTCCTGGATAATCCAGACAAATAAGTTACAAAAAACCCAAATCCCCCTTTTGGGTGGCATTTGGGGACCGGGGTGACACTGCAGCCGGATCTACCTCTGCCACCCTGGCCTGACCAAATTTGGTCTTTTTTCACTGGAAAACACTTCCCATTCCCAGGGAAATCCCACGAGGATGGGAAACCTCAGCATTGATATTGTCACTACTGGTTTTTACTGGCCCGATGTGGGATTTGGGGGTCAGCAAAGGAAACGAGTTTGTGGTTATTTATGATTTTGTGACTTTATTCCCTGTGACCTGTGGAAACACTCTTGGAGTTCTCAAAAATCCCTGGATTATGGCTCAAAATCAGGCTGTGGAAGCTCCAGAGTCTTTTCCAGGGGTTTCCTTGCTGCTCCTGCTTTTCCCAGATTTAAATTCCCCCATCTCACTTTCTGCTGGTGTTTAATGAGTTTTGGGTTTTTTGGGAGAAGCTTTGCTGGGAATGCAACCCAAGTGCAACAGAACAGATTGGGATAGAGGGAACGGGGCATCTCTCAGATCTCCAGCTCTAGGGGGAGTTGGAGTCTCATCCTGCCTGGTGGGATGGGTTTGGATCTCTGGATCATGGAAATTAGGGTTAATTAGGGGAACTCCCTTCTCTGTCCACCTGGAGGCATGGCAGAGGCATAGCTCCATGGATTTAGATCCCAAAATGCTTTATGGATCTAGCAGGATGGAGCAGGGGTGGGGGTGAGGGGCTCCCCTCCCAAGTGGGTGTCACAGCTCCCACCCAGCCTGGCCCTGGATTATTTGGGATCCTTGGAGCAGGGCTGGCCAGTGCCAGGGGCTCCAACCCTTGCTGTAATGAGGCTTCCTTGTAATTCCATCAGCCTTTCCCTGTACCCCCTGTCCCAGGCAGGGAATTCTCTCTGAAATAAAATCCCCAACCCTTGGGAATGCTGCCCTGATGCCATTTTGGGATCCAGTGGTCACTGGGATTTCTTCCCTTCCATGACCAAACCTGGCTTGCTCCCAGGATTGGGGCAGGTCGGGGCAGCCCCTTCCTGCTTAGGGGCTTCCATAGGGCTTTATCCATCACTGCCCAAGATCTGGGGTTATTCCATGGTGTCCAGGACACATTCCAGGGACACGGGTGACAACACCCAGAGCCCAGCAGGAAAACACTCTAATTAGAGACAGGATTGTATCCACTTTTCCCACCCTTTCCCAAATGAACTGAGCCTTGTGGCTTCCCCTGACCCAAGCAAGGATTAGGATTCTCAGTTTGGGATTCTCAGTGGTGGATTCTCAGTTTTCAGGTCATTATCCCAGAATTCCAGCAGGATTTAACCCTGTAGCGTAACACTTAGAGGTTTTACACCCATTCCCACAACCCAACAGCCACGATCCCTGGGAATTCAGGGGTGGGAGGGGACGGGTTGGACTCCGGCTCCAGAATCCCACTGTACACACCCCCTGGCTCTCCTGGATCAGGAACGTTGGTTTGGGAGGGGTCAGCTCTCGTGGCTGAAACACTGAAACACTGAAACACTGACTGCGTGGCAGCAGCTCCATGGCAGAGCCTCTGGATCGGGTCCCTGTCCGTGGGCTCCGCTCCTCGCTGCGCTAATTTGGAGTTTTCCCCGGTTGTGTGAACCCCCTTCGCCATTAAAACACGGAGACTTTTCCAACTTGGCTTCCTGGGTCGTTTTTTGGGGTCTGCTCCGATCGCCGGCCGTTCCTGGCTGTGGTGGAGCCCCCAGTGCTCACGGAGCTGTGTCAGTAGGACGAGCTCCCGGGGGGGGCACGTCCCCGTCCCCGTCCCGCGGGATTCGCTCCCGGGGTCACACTGTGACCGTGTCATCAGCGGGAGAGTGGAGGGTCCGTCACTCTGCGGTGCCTTCCCGCTGGAATTCCTTCAGTGGGATCCAGGACACGGCCCGTCCATCCTGCCCTGCTCTGGCCCGACCCACCCCTGCGCTGAAAAACACGGAATTCCAGTTTTTTCCCCTGCTTTCTTACCCCCCTTTCCCCCTCCCCCGACCCGGAGCCTCAACTCCAGCCCAGCCCAGCCCGGGCTCGGCGCCGTTTAACACCAAGATCATCCGGGC